AGCCATAATCCCAGCCCCTATAGCATTCACTTTTATAGCTAAATATCAAAGCTAATTAATGGGTTTTCACAAGTCTTTATAACCAGGAGTGGTCGCCAGAAGGCATCATTGATGTGAGCTCAGCAGTGCTTTGAGGGTTTATTTTTTCTCTGAGGCTTTATCATAGTTCATTTCAAAAATCACTATTGAATGTTCATTCCCAACCCTGTCCTTTCTGTTCTGGCCAGGTCATATCAAGCTTAATATGAGATTTTCCTTTCTGGCTCATTGGATAGGAAAAGGTAGGCTGTTCTAGCTGTAGTGAGCAGACTGTAAAAGTGACCAGAGGTTAGAGATAGGAAAACCAACTGGGTAAAGTTTACCTCTTCAAAATTTTGTGTGTATGTGTGTGTGCTTATGTGTGTGTTAAGGATATAAGTTAATTGATTCTGCTGTCTATCCTTCTAGCCCTGGGCATTTATGCAAAGACATCAAATCTGCCTCTTGTCCGTAGAGGGATTGTTTACTGTTTGTTTTTTGTTGTATCTATGCAGCCTCTCTATGTATGACATCGTGATTACTACTTACAGCCTTCTGGCCAAGGAGATTCCCACAGTGAAGCAGGAGAGAGAGGTTCCAGGTGCAAACCTCAGGGTAAAGGTGAGGCTTGGGTTGCTAGGCAAATAGTTGGAGCCACATGTCATTTAATGGGAGTCTTTACAGCCTCAGAGATAGCTAAGGAATTTGCAGCAGTGCTCTAGTGTTCTTCCCCTTGTGGAAATGAGTAGTTCTGTCTGTATTCTGTCCCTCTTGTCCTAGATAACAACTTCAGTGATAAAAGTTGATACTTGGCACAGTATTCAGCTGTCTTTTATAGAGCTAAAGTTAACTACACTTCTTTATGGTGGTAATAATCCCACAAATACAGGAAAGCCTCTTGTTGCTATTTTATCTTAGAGTATGTGGGGTATACTCTCATGATACTTTTTATTTTTAGTGTGCAGACTGTTATTTTAGTACCTGTGTTTTGGTATTAAGCCCTCATTCATTGTCTCCCATCTGCCTCCCAGAAAAGGGAATTGCAAATAATAGAGCTTCAGATAGGCCAGAGACTAAATGATAACCACGAAAAAGCCCCGAGTGTCTTCAGGCAGATTCAGGGCATCTGTTACATGATGTAGAGGCTTTATCACATAATTATTGTGAAGACTCCTCCACCCCAAATATAGTATTGTCTTTCCCAAGAGCTATCTTTTGGGTTTTACCAGGACAGGATTCTCACAGATTTCTGTATTTAGGAGCTCTCTGGAACACTTTACCAGCTCATGGCACTACCCTGACTTCTTACAGATAACAAACTTCTCAGATTCTTTAGTTGTTCACCATCACTTTGATGATAAACTCCAAACCTCTTTACATGATGTATCAGGCACTTTGCCATCTTGCTCTGCCAGTGTGCCTGCTCCTCTCTACCCTGTCTCCCTCCCTGTGACACCAGACATGTAGTTGTGTAGTCCCTGATGTGCTCCTTCACAGTTACGCCTTTACTCTCCCTTTTGACACAATTCTTTGTCACCACTCCTCTTCCCAGGTTAATTGTTATTTTTTTTTATAAGAGAGATAAAATTTTTTAGTATTTATTTTATAGTTTTTGGTAGACACAACATCTTTATTTTATTTTACTTTTTATGTGGTGCTGAGGATCGAACTCAGTGCCCTGCGCACGCCAAACGAGTGTGCTACTGCTTGAGCCACATCCCCAGCCCAGGTTAATTGTTTTTTAAGCTGCTTCAAGCATCCTTTTTGGACCACTCCCTTTTTACCATTTGGTTGAATGTCTCTCCTAGCCCCTTGAGCTTGCTCATATCATGGTATACCATTTATTCAGCAAATATGGAGTATTTTTTACTTGGCAGGCATTATTTTAGCTTATCCAGGATGACAACAGTGAATAAGAACAGCTAGATTTCCCTTGTCTTACATTGAGTTATGTAGTTTTATTTACTGTATATACACCATGTTACACATCATGTTTTAGTTATGTCTGTTTTTCTCCCCTGCTAGATTCTGAGCTCATGAAGGGTGGGACATGCCCTTTATGTCTGACTTTGTATCTTACATTAAAACATAAACTTTAAGTAAATTCTTATTAAATTATCAGATATTTTTATGGAGTGAGTAAATTTGCAAACTGAATAACTAATACACTCTTAGCCCATAACCATTGCCAAAATGTGGCTTGAAAGAATAAATGAAAATTCAAATTAGAAAACATTCTGCTCTTGGGCATCTTATTCTCAAGGCCTGAAACTCTCAAGTGGCCTATGTATTGGAACCAGTTAAGAGATTCTGCTCCTAGTTTCTCGACTCAGATTATTGTAATAGATCTCAGCAAGTTAGTGTGTCAGATTGGGTCTCCTCAGTACTGGGTGGTCATTTCCCCTTATCTCCTTGAGGACATGTTCAGGTTCCCATAGTGTTGCTGGATTTCACTTTCCAGGGCAGCTCAACACCTTTGCTTCAAATAGTCTGGGCTCGAATTATATTGGATGAAGCTCATAATGTGAAGAATCCCCGTGTGCAGACGTCCATTGCTGTGTGTAAGCTGCAAGCCCGTGCCCGTTGGGCTGTCACTGGAACCCCTATACAAAACAACCTGTTGGATATGTATTCACTGCTGAAGTGAGTAACCTTGGGGTCCTGTAACTGTGAACCCTGTCTGTAACCCTTCAGCATTATTTCATGTCTCACTATAAAGACTCTGATGTGTGTCAGATCATCTCATGTAGCAGATGGCAAGCCTGTAAGTCTTTAAAGGACAAAATAATTAATATTTATGAGAAAATATCAATGGATTGACTGACTAATAGAGGATTTTGATTACATTCAGTTCTTCTATATGCAAAAATATAGGAGAGATTGACATAAAGGAAGCAAAAGTCATCTTTCTTTAGTCCCCTGAATATTTTGGGCTCTTTCTTCTTTAAAACATGTACTAGACTCTGGACTGCAACTTACTGGAGGCCAATAGAAAAGAATGATGATTTAAAAATACTTTATTTTGTTCAAGTCAGCCCATAAGAGGATATGGAATTTCTTTGCTAGAATAAATTCTAGCTATTGGTTATATATCCTGGTGTGATAATACAGATATTAGTAATGGAGAAACTCATTTTTATCGTGTGGTTTTCATTATTAATTTAGGTCCTTTTGATTTGTCTAGCAAAATATGCTGTGAAATTTACTCAAAAAATGATTGGATGACAGATGTAACAAAAAATCTAATTTGTTTTCACCTTGATTTTACTTTGGACTTTTACTACTTTCTTCCCTGTTCTGTGTCCTTTCTCCACAAAAAAAGATTTCTCCGCTGTTCTCCATTTGATGAATTCACCCTGTGGAAAAGTCAGGTTGATAATGGTTCAAAGAAAGGAGGAGAACGGTTAAGTATTTTAACTAAGAGCCTTCTGCTGAGGAGAACAAAGGACCAACTGGACTCCACTGGCAAACCCTTGGTAATCAAATTTCTACCTGTCCCTGGGGGAGCCAGAGAAGGAGGATGACTATATCCCTGAGGGGGTTGAACAGCCATCTGCTGTGCTTCAGGAGCCTCTAGTCTCCCTTTTTCTCTGAGGAGGCCTGGGGTTGCATCTTGTGCCTCATGTTCCAGCAGTCCTGCTGTACACTCCTTTAGTTCTACAGAAGGATAGGAAATGCTTCCTAGGGGTCGGCTAGATTTCCAGTGTCCACCTGGGGAATTTGCTTTGTAGCATTTAGTTAATTCATATAGCTTTACCCCAACTTCCATTTTCTTTTATTCTTCCAGGTGAGGCTGCCTCAGCGTAAATTTCAGCAGCACCGTTTGAAGCTTTCTGAAGATGAAAAGCTGGTTTATAATGTCTTTTTTGCAAGATCAAGGTTTGTGCAGTGAAGAAGCACTTTCTCACATGCATTGTTTTATTCTTGTCTTTGCTTGGGAGTCAATAGAGGGTCAGCTTTCCCTAAACTGAATTTATGGTGTTATTGATATGTTGGATATCTGTATTCCTTTTTTCTTCCCTTTTGTTCCTCCTTCTCTCCCTGGCTCATCTTTGTCTCACACGCACATTGAAAGCAAAATTTTGAACCTTGTTTTCATTGGCTTCCTTGCATAGGAATCATGGGATCTGGTCACTGAAAACTGGATCTGTCTGTTTCACTTGGGGCTGTATTGGAAAGTTATTTCCCTTTGCCCTTTGCCCTTTAACCCAGCATCTCCCTGGGACTTTAAAAGAAACAAAACTGCTTTGCCATCCTTCATGTTGTTTGTTTTTTGTACTTTTACTAGAAGTATTATCCTTCCCTGAAATCTAGATTGTTCTCTTCCACTGAATACTTCTCATTTCCAATGTAAATATGTTTTTTTTTTCTATTTATACTTTATATTTTTAGCTGACTTTTAAAAAGTTAATTTTTTAAATAATTATTTCTTTTGCAATACCTTTGGCTAGTGCTTGCTATGAGCTTGGCATCATTTATCAAGTCCACTTCTATAATTTGCCAAGGTCCACTTGCAAGCACAGTTAAGCAGTGACCATTGTAAGCCTGCTCAGAGTTAGTGACCATTATTTGTGCATTTTCTTTTTGGATCTGAGGCAGATCTGCTCTGCAGTCCTATCTGAAAAGAGATGAAAGTAGAGATAACCAATCTGGAAGAAGCTCTAATAATCCATTCATCAGAGGTAAGCTGGGGGACTCATTTACTCATAAGTAAATATCACTAATGAAAAATGGGGATTCTGATTTAGTTAAATAGCAGATTTGAGAAGTTGTGAATCCTAGGTCTGAAAGAGTAGAATTTGGCTAAGAACCTCAAACCAGGGTAAAATATACTGACCTGAAAACATAAGATCTGGTGGTCTAAATTTCTTATAAATGCTTTTTTAATCTGCTTTGTTAAAATACATGTATGTCTATATAGAAAACCAGTATTTCATTTGGCTTCATAAAAGTGAGATATAATGGTATTACTGAATCTCAGATCCAACCAGTTCCCAATCCTTCCCCAGATTTCTCTGTTTTAAATCCTGTACTATTTCCTGGGGTTTGTCTTCTCTCTTGGAAGTGGCCCAGGAGTTTGGGTCCAGTGGGCCTGGGCAGACCATGGCAGCAGACTCACAGAGATCCAGCACCGTCCACATACTGTCCCAGTTGCTGAGGCTCCGTCAGTGTTGCTGCCATCTTTCTTTACTGAAGTCGGTAAGAAAAGGCCTTAGCATGGTGTCACAATTTCTGTCTTCTGCAGCTGGGATCCAGTTGGCTGGATCAATGGAAATGGTGTTTTGGGGGTTTTGTTTTGTTTTATGTTTTGGTGGGGCAGAGAAGAGGGGCTTGTTTATTTTGCTTTAAATGATAGTATATATTAATCTTGATGATTCCTGTGGTATTGAGAAGGCACACTATTATTGTTTGTTTGCTTTAGAGACTTTAAGAATGGGAAGTCACATTTTGTTTTAAAAGAAAATTCATGAATGCTTCAGTATGTTAGAATGTCATAAGGTTAATTTAGTTATTGGAGTTTAGGATTGAGGCTTTTAGGTCTAGATATGAAAACTCAAGTAGTTATACAAATTGAAAAACTGTCTTCACATTGAATAGAGGGCACATTTAAAATTAAGAGGCACATCCAAAATTAAGAGGCACATAGCATTAATTTCAGAAGCTGTTGTAATGTGTTTTGACCATCAGCTGCTTAATTAACTGTTTTATGCTAGCCGAAATAGAGAGAATGATCATATTATTTGTCCAAGTCTTTAAAAAATTTCATCATTTTTGTATTTCTTTAATTGGTTGAAAAAAACTTGCAAGTACACACTTTAAGGATTTCTCTGATAAATTATTGAAGATAAATTACAAGGCATTTTGCTCTGTGAAGTGTGGAACAATTAGAGCCTCATCAGCAAGTAATAATGCATGCTGCTTCCACTGCCCAATTGCTCCTGTCCCTTTCTGTGTTGTGCTCAGGTCCTGGATCCTGCAGATCTGAAGAGCGAAGGCCTTGTCCTATCCCTAGAGGAACAGCTCAGTGCTCTGACCTTGTCGGAACTCCATGACTCAGAGTCCTCTCCTACTGTTTCCCTTAATGGCACACCCTTCAAGGTGGAACTTTTCGAAGACACACGACAGAGCACCAAGGTACTTGTCACCTCTGTTCTTGGTAGAGGTATTTGGATTCTCGTTCATACCCTGTGTTGAGTGCCTCATTTGTCCCAGTGGGTACAGCCATCTGATGACAGAGGAAGAACTATTAGATGGTAGTAGTCGATTGTATTAACATCATTTTATGTCACAAAGAACAGTCAACTTTATTACAAAGTGAGTGTTCAGAGAGTGGTTTGGAACAGCTCTGCCATCCACACAGGTTTTCTGTCAGGGATTACGGGAAGGGAGGCTGCCAGGTTTATGCTAGGGATGGGACCTAAGCAAGTGAGCAGTTTGTTTAGGGAAAGCTTGAAAGGAAAACCATAGCCTTGAGCCTAGGGACTGTGTAATACACATGAGCACCAGTTGCTTTGACTTGTTGAAAGGCTTCCATCTGTGAGCATCTTCCTGCGTGGCCTTCTATCTTTATTAGTCATTCTGTTCTATTTTTGTCAAAGCTTTTGGAAGGCTGAGCTGTTCTGTAACTTGAGTCCTCTCTTGCAGTCAGCTTGGAATGTGCTCTGTTATCCTCCACACCCTGAAAGCAGGCCTTGTTTCTCTCTCTGTCATGATCTTAAGTTGCCACTTTGAACCTCAACCTCTCTTTTGAAATGCTTAAAATATGTAAATTAGAAAGGAGTTTACTATGAAGGGAATGGAATTATTGTTATTTTTTTTAAAGAAGCGCTGCCTCTTAATTAAAGCATCTACCCAGTCTTTGCCACAAATTGCTGAGATAAATAGAAGAATAGCCCCACATGTGGCTAGCATTCATGTTCTAAAACTCAGAGTTAGCAGAAACTTATATTCCTATCTCTTTGTCTTCCTTGTCATTGATAATCAGATAATACTTATTCACAAGGCTTCAAACATAAGCCCCTTAATAGTGGTTCAAACCGAGTAAAGTTGTTTCATGAGGGAAGAAATAGTCTTTCTGAAATTTGACCCCAGCTCATGGACCATGAATCCAACCCCCACCCCCACCCCCACTTCATTTTTCTTAAAAGACCTACTGCCAGCTTTTTCATGGCTTCTTTCACAACCTTAAGATGCCGAGACACCTGGCAAATGAGTGTCTCTGTTCTATTGTTAACTAAAAACATACATACCTGCCTTTCTTCCTGTTCCTGCAAACGTACAGT